AAGGTGATTACGCATCTCTCACTTTGCAGTGACTGTCCGGGAATAATCTCAACCAACTCGGGCTGTTTGGTTTTGTTAACAATGCATTCTGCAAATGCGATGCAACGTTTTGAAATTAACACAAATGTGCCTGTGCGCCTCCAAAGCTGCCAGTACATTGCTCCCAGTGAAGCCCTTAAATATAACGCATTTGCGAACTGTCGCCCTTGATCATGAATGTCGCCGTGCGATCGCACACAGCTCCAGTTCGCCCGGGGCGGGTTCGCCTGCTCTGGGGAACGCGAGCGGTCGCTGTGAATGCGCTTTTCTCATCGCCACTACCACCAAGGCTGCCCGACCCGGGGAGGACCATTAGGGACACAGTTGTGACGTCACCAACGGCAGTGCGCCCTGCAAGTGTTATCAAACGTTATCAAGTGTTATCAAATGCTTTCAAAAGAATGTTCCATCTCTCGCAGAACATGCCTCACCCACTGAAGTATGGATACCGATTCCTCCACAAAAACCCTCACCTTGCTAACTCTTCATGCCAATAATAGTACTGTAGTCATAATTTATTTGGGAAAGCCTCACCAAGTCTCAAGACTCGTCAAGGAGCATGAACCATGACGCAAACTACGGGCACCCTTGCAGCAGATTTTGACTAACTATCAAACAAATACGGTCACTGCATCGCGTGATTTCAGATGCGCTGCTTCTGCGGCCGTCTGGAACGCTCTTCCTTCCGATATCAGGAAGCCACTGGAGCTATACACTTCTAAATCATCTAGATTAAAAAATAATTTACTTGGAACTGCTTTATGCGTTTAGTTTGTTATCCTTCCCCGACACCTCCGATTAGCATGGTTGGCTACGTATGGTGCGAAAGAAGTTCAGCATATAAACCTGATTAAAAAAATTCAACAAAGACTTACGTTGCAATGGTTGGCCAGTTCTGTACCCAAAGAGCACCAAGTATATGAGAAAATATCACGGAAAGCGCAACATGGATAGATTCAATCTATGGATTTAATTCACAAATCTCTCTGTGGACTGAACCCATTGCTGTACTGCCATCTACTGGCACATCGCAGCCTTAGGCCCATAACACCTGGTATGCACAGGTGGTCACGGATGCGAGCACCAACCAGGCTAAATCCTCCTTGGCTTCTGAGATGGGACCAGGTGAGGCGCGATGTCATTTGGTCATCGGCACCGATGTTCGTTCAGTGCATCGCCCGTGCTTTACTAGAATGCGCCAATGCAGTCAAACTCATTTTTAGGTCGTGGAATATTGATTTTTGCATCGGCGTTTTAGCATTTATTGATTCGAATTAAAATATTTCAAGATGGGATGGAGGAGACAATGATAAGGACAGCTTTCCGAACCTAATAGATAAGCAGTGCCTAGCCTCAGCTGTGGTGCTTTAATGACAGCTTGGCATTACAGGAAGAAACGAGTGCTATCACTTACGGACACTTGATATTTATTGCACGCCGAGAGCTGTGATTGATTTTCCATCAAACATGAGAGGAGGAGGAAATAAATAAATAAGGGAGACATTAGCGCGACGTTAATCGATCGGGTTGGGCCACTCTGCGCCTGCAACTGGAGGTGACGAGCGGGCCTGCGTGGGATTGGCCCCCACCCCGCCCTCTCAGCCCCGCCCCACCTTCTGTTATTGGACCGATTTACTTGAAGACTGATATAAATATATTCCCCGCATTCTGATTAGCATGATTGGCTATTTATCGTGTGAATGAAGTTCAACATGCATACAAAGACAAAGATTCCCCGTATAGCCTTAACAGATTGTTGAGGAAAGTGCGGTTAACGAACACCTACGAAGGCTGACACGGTATACGAGGGGGTGGGTGGCCAGCAGCGCGTCCAACCCCCTTTGTCTCTCCAGTGATGATGTTGACACACCGCACCAGGTGCTCATTTGAGGCCGAGTCGACCTAGGGGAGGAGGCCCAGGGCCAGTTCAGATAATCGTCGCTAGTGTTGGCCGTGACCGGGAATCGAACTTGGGTCGCTGGGTTTGTCGCGCAACACGCTAACCGCTGCGCCACATAGTACGCACACATACATACACACATACACACATACATACACACACACATACATACACACATACACACACACATACACACATACACACATACATACACACACACATACACACACACATACATACACACATACACACACATACACACACACACATACACACACACACATACACACACACATACACACATACATACATACACACACACACATACACACACACACATACATACACACACATACATACACACATACACACATACATACACACATAATAACCTTAATGCAACATTTGGCGGGCAATAAAAGCCCAAGCACCCAACGCGCACTGCACACAGTTATCGCTGATTGCCCCCCCCCCCCCCCCACCAGCTCAACGGCGCGCTACGAGGAACGACCCAAAAATAAAGTGAAAACAAAATCGTAACAAATCACGGCACATACCGCGACGTGTTACACAACGACGATGACACTTTGACAACATGTGGCATGGCTAGAAAAGGACCTTCCTGGATGGTCCAGGATTACACTATGTTGGTTATCACCGAGACCATTTCACAGTGCCGGATTAAGCTAGTGCGGGGTCTGTAGCATATGTTATAAAGGGGCCTAAATTAAAAAAATATATAAATGTTAAAACACAATTTTTTTACTTGCATACTAAACTTATTGTATTTTTTCACTTGCTATACAGCCAGATAATACCACAAATCTCTAACTTAAACACTTAGTCGTTCATAAAAGTTGAAGGCAGTATAGTCCTATAGTAAGAGCAAGTGCAGAATCACTGAACCGGAATTGATAGCTCGAAAGCATTTAGCGCGGGGCTCTTGAAAGTGCGGGGCCCATAGCATATGCTACGTTTGCTACTAGGATAATCCGGCACTGCCGTTTCAGCATTACATAGATGTAATAAAACATTATCTTTGTAAATTTGTATGCCCAATGAGGTTGATCGGACCCGATGTTAGATTCTGTCGACTTGCGTGATGCACACACGTGCCTCTTTAGTGACTGGTATTGACTCTTTTGCCATCGGTAAATTTGACAGGCGTTGCTGCTCTACACTAACTGATACCTTTAGATTTGCTAGACCAATGTCCAAAGCTATATTTGTTGCCTGATTTTTCGTCCCAGTTTAAAAAAAACAAGACAAACGGAAGTGATTACCGCCATCGATCGTGCAATTACAATCAACACAGCTCCGCTGCTTGGCCAGTGCTGCACCACACGTGACACAGATGCTAAAGCATCTCAACATGTGGAATTATCCACGCTGCAGGCGATCGAGCTCCGTTGTGAGTGCATGTGTGAGGTGTGTGTGGCATGGGGGTGTTGATACAGTTAGAAAATCATGCCACAATTCCAGCCATAGATGGTTCAGTTCCCAGCCATAGATGATAGAATACACAAGCAGGCGTTGTCTTCTTCATATATACGTCTTTTCACATGAAACATTTTACATTATTTTTACACAACCCATCAGCCCCGCGGCCCATCTGAGAGTGCAAACAGCTTCCAGGCCATATTTAACATCATGTCTCATCAGCAGATTCAGGATTGTTTTAACCAATGCTGGCGAACAGCCAGATGTTACAGGCAAGGACCTTCTTTATAAGACATAAGTCCCAGATAGGAGCAGTTGTAATTGGCTTCAAAGACTACCCAACGCTTCCCCTACATCCATATCAGGTGCGATGTATCAGTAAGTACTGCGGAGGCAGTATCAATACTGGGGAGACAATGACATGGTGCTGGTGACACCACCCTATCATGCACCGTGGCGGCCTGGATATGTGCGCGCAAATAGTACTTGTCCCAACAGTCCACGGAGGCTATACAGGTGCCCATCACTAGCAGAGCAGCGTGTGGCTAAAAGGCGGCACAGTGGGGGCACAGGGGGCGCCATTCTCCAGTCGTTTCAGTTGACTCATAACACCCAAGACTGTCCTGTGACCTCCTGCCGGTAAGGCAATGCCATTTCACGTGGCCTCAAGGAGCATCTATAAAATAAAAACTATTTAAATGTTTTTATTTAACCTGGTAAGGTCGACTGAGCTATATGGCTCTTTGTCAGAAGTGGTCTGACCACAAATGATAGGTCAGCAAAGGGGCTGATGTGGAAATGTAGAGCAGCCAAATACTCGAAAGGCATGTTTGTGAATGTGGAGGGAAACAACCAGAGGACCTGGAGAGAAATCCACGCGACCACGGGGTGAAAATGCAAACTCCAAATATACAGGCGTCGGGGTCGGGACCGAACCCATGATCTTCTGTATACCAGGCGACGTAGTTAACATCTCGCCACCTGGCAATAGTGCCGTGGTAACGCCATGGTCACTTACGGCCGAGTGGCGGCCGTTGCTGTCAATGTTTAACAAAGAAAAGCCAACATGCGCAGCCGTCCGATCCCACTGGTGACGAGTTTCATCCGACAGCCGCGGGCGACCAAGAGTCACGTGACCCACCTGCAGCTGCCCCTCGAGCACTCGCCTCCTGTCCCGCAGCCGCTCCTGCAGCTGGGCCAGCTCCCTCCGCACGTCTTCACGCAGGGCCCGCAGCCTCTCCCACTCCCGCCTGGACGCGTGCGGCAGACGTGCACGGCGTGAGACGTGGGGGTAGAGACACCTGCGTGGTGCTCCGATCACACGGCAACATCTCGAAGCGACGTTTCTCTGCTGTAGGCATCACTGGATGATCTAGGCCACAGGAGTCGGTGGCCGTAGGATGGCTGTGGGGCCGACACCACAGACGCTCCACCGCAGCAGGTACCCACTTGAGGCGAAGTCGACGTAGGTGAGACCCAGGACCGGTTCAGATCATCATCACTGGTGTTGGCCAAGAGTGGGAATCGACCTCTGGTCACAAGGTTCATAGCGCAGTGCGCCAACCACTACACAGCTGCTCTACCCAGACACACGCAACACGCACTCACCTGTGGCGCTGCGTCACCGCTGGCTGCACTGCCGTCTGCTGCTCCAGCTCACTCATCTCTCGCTCGAAGCGCAACAGGTCTCTCTGCACCGAGTCCATCTCGTGCAGGGCACACTGCCGCATCCGTGGTGACAAAACAGAGGACAGCGAGAACAGTTGACGACGCTCATCATCATTTCCGCTGTTCAGCGCAAAACACCTTCACGCCACAGACCCCGCGATTGTTTTAAACGGCCGTGAGATTTTGTTGTTTGCATGCACCTGTTGTACCTCTGTGTACATAGCCATGTAACACCAGTGTGCATGTGTGTACCTACGCATGCGTGTGCATATCAGTGTGTGCCATGCCGGCATTCATTAGGTGCTCGCTAACAGCACTTGCCCCAACAGTTAAGGCTGTATGGGGGATCTGTGTCTTTGTCTTATATCGGTGTGTAGGGAGCGGTAGTGCACCTCCAATTAGCACGGTTGGCTACGTGCAGTGCTAAAAAAGTTAAACATATATAGTGCAGCGGCTAGAGTGATGCGCTAAGAAACTGCTGACCTGAGTTCAATTCCCACTCATGGCCAACACCAGCAACAATTATCTGAACCGGTTCTGGGCCTGACTGCCTCAGTACCGAGTGCTGTTTATAAACATCGCCCCTGGGGAGACAAAGTCAACTGGGCGTGGTGCTCGCTAACAACACTTGCCCCAACGGTCTATTAAGGCTATGAGGGGGATCTTTGTCTTTGTATTTCTATGTAATAGGTGCTCACTAAAACAGCACTTGCGAATACACTCACGGCACTTTTGTCCTTGCCTCCATTTATAATCGACGTGATGGAAAACATTCCAAATTTGTGATTCTCTTTGAAGTGAACGCAAGCTCTGCGTGGGCACCCCAGGCAGCATGGCGTTTCATTTCATACTTTGAACGCTGCCCTTTCCATTCGTATCACCTCAGTCCGGAGCCGCCGCTCTTGAAATTCTTTAGAGGTTTCTGCCACATGACCCGCGTCTGCTCCGCCGATCTACAGGTCACCCAGATGAGATTTTAGTCAAAACCCAGTGTGCGACGCCAAAATCAAACTCATCCATTACCCACCAGCATGGAGCTGGAGGGAGGTGCCAGCATCACTGACATAAGCAGCAACTAGGATTTACAGCTCATGGGAATAAGAATATATCACGATACAGGAAGAGGGGAGAACTATACGGAACTGACAAAACTGGACTTTTAATGTTTAATGATCTGGAAGGACTTGCCCATTTACCAGGACAGTTAGCTACAAAGTAGGGAAATCCTGGGAAAACCAGGACAGGCGTCAAAACCAGAGCAGCAATGCGGGCACTCACCAGCGAGGCCGTGACGCTCCTCACGGCGAGCTGGATCCCGCACAGAACCTCCATAAGTCGGGCCTCCAGCGCCCGTGCACAAGACGCGCCGTGCCCACACGGTGCCCACGGGGAGCATGGCGCCGCGTGCCAGGGAACGACGCTGGCGCACACGGCAAGTGAGCACGGCGACCTCGCAGAAAGAACCTGAGCGGCGCCGCACTCGTCACACAACGGCACACTCTGGCGACGGTGGTGGTGGTGGCGAGCGTGATGGTACTCGGGACAGCAGGGCTGGCTGACAAGGTGCCAAGGGTGAACACTTGAGGAATTGCCCGTGCACGAGCGATGGTGGCCTGCGAAGACGTCGTTGTCTTCGCCGCATCTCGAGTGGAGTCGCGAGGGCTGAACACTGCCGTCCCAGAATTTGTGCCGCTCTCTTCGTAAAGGCACGAACAGTTCTGTCCGACACGTTTTCGCACGGTCGTCCATTCTACCGCCGCCGTCAGCGCCATCACCTCTATCAGAGTTCCTTTCGATTTTCCTCGTCGTGCTTTGCTCGTTCCTCTGAGGACATTTATTTTCTTTGCGAGATGCGGGAGAGCTGCTGGGTGCAAACTGGACGCGACGGGGAAGGCGTGCCGCGTGGTCGTCCGTGTCGTTCATTATGAGTGTCGCCGATACGACGCGAGGAGACTCAACCCGCTTTACCGTAGGTTTACCGGGCTCTGGGGAGGGTCTCTCACTCGAGAAGAGGCCACGGGGCATCGACAAACCTGGGCACGGTGGGGATGCTCCCTGCTGAGCTCTCGTGGCAGGAGGTGACGTTGCCTTCAGTGGCGAGGTCATGTTTTGCGGCGTCTCTGCTTCTCCAGCATCACCCTGCTGCCCGCGGTCCCTCACAGAAATGCGGTGCAGAGACGTCTGTATCTTCCGAGCGACCGAGGGTGGTACGTAAGGCACGCCGCTGCATATCAAGCGAGAGGATGGCACGAATGAGGCCATTTTGTGAGAAGTCAAATTTCGATTCCAAGTTCCAGGCCTGGCAATCATCCCGTGGTCGTCTTGTGAGCCCGAAATCTGCACCTTCCCTTCAGCTTCTCCTGCAGCATCAGAGCCATCCAGTACAGAGCTTTGTTCCGAATCACTTAATGATTCTTCTTGTTCCAAACCCTCTTGGATTTCCTCATCAAAAGCCTCCTCCAAATTCCGATTGGAGTGTCGATCGGACTCGAGATTCGCGAACACTTGCGTGCCTGGCTCCCAGCGCGCCTTGCCCATGACACGTCGCGTCTTTGGGTGACCAGATGTACTCGCAGTCCACTGCCGTGGACACCTCAGATGCTCCGAAATGCGCCTCTTCCTGCACTCGCAATTCAGGCCCCTCGGAAACACTTCGAGTTGCTCGTAAATCAACGACGCTTGGTCGCTGCAGGCATGACCTCCCCCTGGCAGGGTCACCCACATCGATCAGAGGAACATAGCCGCTCACTAACAGGTCACCGTTGCGCCCCAGCGGAATGCTATTTTTGCCCACATCGCTATGAAGCACGTCACGTGAATTTGTTAAACGCTCACCAATCGATGCGGGTTCTTGGGAGAGTTCTCCTCCGAGCGTGTCCTTGGGTTTAATGACGAGGTCTTCTGTTAAAACTCTGCTGGAATCGCGCTCCGTCTGTGGCTCGCCACTTGACTCAAACTCCGTTCCATACGTGTCCCTAGGGATGGGAGTCAAGGATCCCAAAGGCTTGAACTTCGTTTGTGAGCCGCGTTCCTCTCGAGGCTCCTCGCCGAAGATCATGTAAATCTCAAACACGGTGTCGACAACGCCCGCTCGGTTTTGCTCGCTCCGTGACAAACTGCGCCGACTTGAAGCCGTCGGCAAGTCGCCGCGGTCGACGCCGTTTAAATGTGCTCCATCCGTCTCCGACAAATCGCACAGGGATGTGGAGATAGCGTAGTCTGGGCCTGGTGACGCTACCGCGCTGTCCTCTTCCCATATCTCTTCCTCCTGCACCTCCCCGTCCTGCATTTCATCCTGACGGGACTCCACTTCCCACGTCACCACGTCCCGTGTCTCTTGTTCTTGCACGTCCCTGTGCGGCATCTCCCCTTCCTGCATCTCATCCTCTTGGGTCTCGCCGTTCTGCGTCTCCTCCTCCCGCATATGGATTTCCCTCATCCCCCCACGCCGTGCCTCCTGCTCTCGTGCTTCGCCTTCCCGCGTCTCCTCCCAGAGCTCCTCTTCCTGCTTCTCCCCGTCCCACGACTCCTCGTCCCAGTTGGACATGGTCGTGAGGAAACTCGCCTCGCTCGTGTCTGGCGATGCGGGGCTCAGGCGCGTGATAGCTTCGGCCTGCTTGGCACCGACCCACCGCACGGTCACGCAGCTGTCCGAGCTCTCCATGCTGCTGCCCATCTCCACGTGGGAAGTACAGAAGAGCTGCCAGGGGAACACACGGGGGGAGGAGGACGAGGAAGAGCGGTTCCCATCATGACTCTCGGGATCATAATGTCGCAGATCGATGGCCAAGCACCATTGGGCGGCTGCCGCATACCTCGGCGTTCCTCTTTGGGTTGAGGTCGACGCTCGAGTCGTCGACGAAGCCGCTGCTGTCCGACTGCAGGCTGTTGGTGCGGAAGTTTTCTGTCATTGGAAATAACACGCGCAGGCGAGAACGTTACGACGCGCTCCCAGAAAGAGATTCGTTCCGCTCACACTTTTGGGTCGTGCTCAGCGACGTGCAAATTCCCCTCAGGCAGAAACGTGAACGCATTGGCAGCTTTTGTTAAAAACTATTTATGCACACACTGTAAAATATACCAGATTAAAAGAAAAAAATACGTCAAGCAATCGGACTGGTAACACGACGGACTATAAATAGGTAGGTTGGCTTTGCGGTGGCCACCACACAAGCGAGTTTTGACAAACATCGAGGAGACACGACGCATCGCGGTGTAAATGTGACGCGGCATTAGCGTCTGTCGCCGCTCATGGAGTTTCGGGGCTCCGCAGAGCAGCGCTCTTGCTCAGCCACGCTTCCAACGATGGCAACCGTGGTCCTCGACGTGCACCACACAACTCGCTCGCGATTAGCACACTTCGCTACATATGGTGCGAAAGAAGTTTAACATACACACATATGTGCATATGTGTGCGTCACACCACTGTGGTAAAAAAAGCTCCAGATTATCCACTGTGTCGTCATTGCCAACGCCACTTTTCCCACAATTGCGCCAAGTTTTTGCACAATCACTTGTACCAGGCTGGGCTATGAGATGGCTAGAATATTGCAGCAGAGCAAGTAGGTTTGTGAACTCAACTGTGTCCTCTGCTGTATGTGTGGAATTGGCCAAATATCCCAAGGTCACAGAAGAGTTTAGTGACTCAAATAGAGGTTGTTGTTTATAAAGAACTAGCTGTACTACCCGGCTTCGCCCGGGACTTGGATCCACCACGCCCGGCCGCCTTTGTCTCCCCAGTGGCGATGTTAATACGCCACACCAGTTACTCGTTTTGAGGCTGAGTCCCTCCCTCACCACTCTCCCTCCCTCACCACTCTCCCTCCCTCACCACTCTCCCTCCCTGACCACTCTCCCTCCCTCACCACTCTCCCTCCCTCACCACTCTCCCTCCCTCACCACTCTCCCTCCCTCACCACTCTGTAGAGGACGTGAAACTTTGATGAATTTACCTCAGAGTTGCGTGGTAGGTGTCGAGGCCTAGCACCGTGCAGAGCTTCCAGCCTCGCCTAAATTGCCCACCCGGCTGAGGCTGGGTACGGGTGCCGTTCCCCCCCCCCCCCCGCGCTACAATAATACTGTGTAATCGCTATAATTTTATTATCTACCGACCCTATAATAGTAATTGCACACATTGTGGTGGGGGGGAGTGAAGAGGACGTGAAACTTTGATGAATTTACCTCAGAGTCGCGTGTTAATGCGTGCGCCTATTTGTAATGGGAATTAAAAATGGCGTCCACCCCGCGGCGAAGGCGTCGCTACCCGTTGCCAGGGGCAACCGCCGTCCAATGAAACTGCGTATGGTCCGGCGACCCACAGACAGACAGACAGATTCGCGATTTTATATATATAGATTATTATTATCATTATGTATGCATGATAGATAATACTGGTAGGAACCTCCTGGTTACACCAGCCCACAGGGGATTATTGTGTCCGTCCATCCGTCGTGCAGGGAGGAGCTGGGTGAGGAGGGAGGGGCTAGGTGGGGAGATTGGGGAGGGGCTGGGTAGGGAGGGTGGGGCTGGGTGGGAGGTGGGAGGGGTGCGGCTGGGTGGGGAGGGGCTGGTCACCCTGTGGTGCCCTTATAAAACTCAACGTTTAACCTACTCACGCCGGCTTGTGCCCGCCCTCACAGTCGGCCATATTTGCGGAATACACCACGCCGCCGTTGACCCTGGCCATTGACCGAGCAACCCAACGTTCCTACCAGCTCCCTCCGCAGGAATGTGTTTAAAAGGTGTGGATGTGCCATTTATTAAGGGACTGTTTTATCTTGATGTGGTTCTGGGATTGTTTTATTGTTGTTCTTGCTGCCTTGCAAAATCTTGATAATTTATTTTTACGTTTTATGTATTTATATTGAGTGGCTTGCTTACCTGTTTGTATATATTGAGCTCCTATCGTCGTCTGCATTGTTTGTCATTGTAACTTGCTGACCCCGCCCACACTGGACATCTGTGAAAAAGAGCTTCATAGCTCATCGGATTCCTCCTCCAGTCTAAATAAAGATTCGGACAGAGGAAAGAAATGCTCACCCATCAGGTGCCGTCTACACTGTTCCAGTGGCCCATCAGGCTTGTGCGCTACACAAGCCACCAGCTCCGGTGAGGCCTCTCGCTCGCCGTCCTCCCGATCCTTAAAAGCACGAGAGCACACATCACAGCATGTAAATCGCACGTTAGCCAGCGCAGGGGTCAAAGGTTGTCATTTGTTTCCCCAACGACCCCTCTGCTATCATCGTCATCATCCAAGAAGGGAATTAAACACCCGCTTCATTCGGGCAGCTCACCGCGAGCAAGGCTCTGCGCTGGATCGCCCCCCGCCATGCACCGAGCTCCACTCGCAGGGCCATGCATCTCCCTTGGCACTCGCCGCACATGCAATTTGCACGATGCAGCCCGGCTCGTTTTCTTGCAGCGCATCACAATAAACCTCAAATTGACACGATTTGCACAATGGTCGTTGGGGAGGTTCTCACATCGTTTGCTAGGCTGCTTCTGCCCCCAAGGCAGCACCAGGGGGAGGTCAAGCCGGTCGGCACAAGTGCCACGCCGCAGTGGAAATTTGTTTGCGTTGGATGAGGCCACGTGGCAATCCCCTGGCCGTGAATGTTTCTGCCCGACTGTTGCCCTTGGAAATGTAAAGCACGAGGCGGCGCTCACACCCGTTCCAAAGTCACCTTCAATCCTAGACCGACGACCGACTGCAGCCCCCCCCAACTCCCGCCACGTCCCCCTCCCCCACCGCACGCCCATCCTCGGCGACCAACGTACTCTGTTATCCGAACCCAAAATGGTCCATCATCATGCAATTAACCACATACACTCTTAACCACTAGGGGCATCCGCACAACTTAATTAGCTACTTAAGAGCATTCCTTGGAACCATGCCAACGCTGCCAGATGCCTTACCATGATTATTTCACCGTGATCGCAATCTTCGAAGGGCGTCGAAAGATCTTGGCTGTCATCCGACGATAACGAGCGCATTTGCCGTGGGCTCGCTGCGTGCCGTCGCCCCACATTCTGCCTGTACGGCAGCGGCCGCTGAGACAAAGCCTCTTTGGGGTCCAAAGGTTCCTGCCGCAGTTCATCAGCCGACTGAGAGGAGGCAGCCTTTGCAGTCTGCTTCCTTGCACGACTGTCCCCACCTTGCTCAACAGTTGCATGCGCCCGCTGATCATCGACTCCCTTGTCTGCGTAGGGACACACGGCGTGCGACTGGAGAACGCCAACGGGGTTGTCATTGTAATTCAGGGCATATTTTAATTCCATTGCAATGCCGCTTGGGTTCGAATTGCCAAGTGCGATTTTGTTATCGCACGCCGCATCGACACCATCAACGGACGTAGCAGGTGAGCCTAAGCTAAAGTCCTCCGCTTCCGGACTCGAACGAGGCACGTTTTCTCGATGGTCTTCCTCGTCAACAAATACCGGATAAGGATCATCGGCGGTAGCCTCCGCGACTCTATTCGCGAGCGTGCACGCAGGCTCGGGGCCCTCGGGCGTCAGGCTGATTCCCGACTCCGGGTCATTGTGCGTTGGTGCCGCCGCCGCCGCGAATCCCACAAAGCTGAACGCCGGTGCTCCGGGGAGCACGGGCGAGACTCCTCCGCCGACAGAAACCTCCTCCAGCAGTGGCTCCAGACGCAGGGGGCTCTCCACCAACCGCGACGGCTTCCTCAGCCGTCCCCCGCGCCTCCCCGGTCCCCCCGCTTCGCCGCCGCCTCCGTCCGTCGTCCCATCGTCCCTGTTGACCGACTCGTCCGCCGCGACGCCGCCGCCGTCGTTCCGCTTCTGCCAGCGCGTGCGGCACAGCAGGTTTTGAGCGGCCCGCGACGCCGCGGAGTTGGCGCCGCCGAGAAGCGGGGATCGGGGAGAGCTGGGAGTCTCCGCGAGCGACTGGTCGCGGCGGACTCGCACGTGCGAGTAGAGGGAGGAGAAGGTGTCCGTCACCTTGGCCAGCACCTCCACCTGTCGGAAACGACCTGCACACGGGTCCAACGGAGAGACCGTGAAGGAAGATTCCAATCGGAGAGCGGCAATCGCGTAAAGTGAAGCAACGTGGCCGCGGGCGACAGCGCATGGAAAAAGCAGACGCCTCATTTGGGAATGGAAGTAATATTTTTGCGAGGTGCTGAGCGTATCTACAATTGGTCATGCCACTGTGTGCGAGTATGGAACATTAACCGGCACATAAAAGAGGCACGGTGTTGAGAACCAAGCCAGAAAGTCAAGGCAGACTAAAGAATGATAAAGACATAGCTGCATGAAGCATTCTATAAGCAATATAAACAATAATTATTGGCATGTTTATAGGTCTTCTTGTCATAGCATCTCGTATCGCTCAGACTCCTCACTGGTCGTTCCAAAACAAAAACAAAGATACCCCATATAGCCTTAACAGACTGTTGAGGAAAGTGCTTTTAGAGAGCTCCTATGAAGGCCGGCACGGCACACGAGGAGGAGGGTGACCAGCACCACGCCCGATCGCGTTTATCTCCCCAGTGACGATGCTTACACACATTACACCAAGTACTCATTTCAGGCTGAGTCAAGCTATGGGAGGCCCAGACCGGTTCAAATAATCGGCCGTGAAAGGGAATCGAACTCGGGTTACCAGATTCGTTGTGCAGCACACTAACCTCTACACACACACATATTATTATTATAGAAGCAGTGAAAGATATGTTCCATGAATATCTCAATGCTTCAATAATAATTTGGATTTTGTTTTTCCCAGGAAGATATTCGTGAGTCTCAAAACTGTCCCTGGCATGTTGGGCCAGTGCTTTGAAGATAATCTTTCAACTTATGTAAAAGTCGAGCAGCTGAGGTTAACACGAGGGGGTGTACTCTGAGAATAGGTTTTCCCCTTTTTTTCTGGCAACAAACAGGTGTTACAATGTTAGAACACCAAACTGAAACATTTTACAAGGACTCATGTCTGCATTAACCACGTATACTTGTGGTCAGAATGCAAACAAAAAACATACTCTGATAATAAATGCATTGTCTTTGAAACGTATTGGTCCACACCAGAGACAGCTTTCTTTTGAGCCTAGTCTTAAAAAAGGGGAAAACCTATTCTCATATTTTGGCACTGGCAAAGGAGGTCCCACCGCATGGTCACTCCAGCAGCGACGCATGGAACTACACTCCTTGCAACCCCCCCCCCCCCCCCCCCCCCCCCCCCACTGTGCAGCCTTCCCTAATTTCCAACCATGTGCACACCACGGGTGGGTCCCGACGACTGCCGTTTACGGAACATTGTACTACAGAAACCTACTTGCTGTACTCCCATCAACCGGCAACCTCATCTCCTACTGTTCTTCTCTTAGGAGGAGGCTGCTGCAAAAGAGAGGGGGGGAGGACGGCGAGAAAGGGGGAAGCTTGACACGAAGGGGGCGGCACGGCGAGAGAGGGGGGGCACTGACTGGCGATCGTAGGGCTCTCCTCGTCCATCCGCTGGAGCTGTGCGCGCAGGAAGAGGCGCAGGTCGATTCCGCGGGCGGCCGAGGGCGCGCTGAAGAAGCGTGGCGGCACACGCGCCGCCACGTCCTCCTCCTCCTCGCCGAAGCCCAGCTCCAGCAGCAGCCCCTCGGGGTCGTCGCCTCGCAGCTCCAGCAGGTCAGACAAGCTACGCGCCGACAGTGCGTGCGTGCGTGCATGCACCACGGCGGGGAGTGGTGGTGTTGAGGTTAGCGAGCTGCGCTACGAACCCAGTGACACGAGCTCGATTCCCGCTCATGGCCAACACCAGTAACGATTATCTGAACCGGTCATAGGCCTCCCCTAGATCGACTTGGCCTCAAATGAGTACCTGGTGTGGTGTGTAAACATCGCCACTGGGGAGACAAAGGCAGCAGGGCGTGGTGTTGGCCACCCACCTCCTCGTGTGCCGTGCCGGCCTTCATTAGGTGCTCGCAGCACTTGCCCTAAAAGTCTATTTAGGCTATACGGGGGACCTTTGTACACCACGGTGATCCATTTATGAATGCCCCACACATTTCTCACATCTCTTACTTTCCTCTCCTAACAGGTGGTCGAATATCGATTGATATTGCAAAAGACAACTCCGTATCTTGCAGAGGAAAATGTTAAAACATTAACGAGTGAATTGATATTGGTGGAAGGATATGTAGCAGCTTTGAAAGAAAATGATGTTCTCTGTATAATATATCACTATCACTTTAGTGAGTTATCTATGAATTGATCACCTGTATTCAGATATGTAGTGTATATGTAATATTAGCACGGTACGGTGCAAAAGAGGTTCAACAGACATTGGTGCTGCTCTGGCTTCCCCTGGGGGTCAGCGTTATTGATGGCACTGGGCCCCAGATTCTGTGTGCTGGGTTGTGCTGCGGTGTTGCTCTCTCTCCGATCTCCACTCTGCTCTGACCCTTCCCAATCCCTCTTTTGTCACAATGTAGTTTCCTGTATTTTTTTCTCAGAGAAATAAACAGACCTCCCATTTGTATCTCCACAAGCATATCTAACTACCTGCCAAGTCCATCAGCCAATTCAGCAAACCATTAACCAGTTTCGACCTGCAGGCTCTCACCAGCATTCACATATGTTTTACATGGCGAGACGGACAAAGTCCGCTTCATCTTGCGCCATTTGTGGAGGGTAACCAGACGGCCCTGGAGCAACTAGATTCATATGAGGGGGGGGGGGTGGTTGTGCTCACTTGGAGACGGACCCGCCGCTGAGGATCGAGTGGCACGAGTTGAAGCTGCTGCCCATGTTGGCGCCACCGAGCAGAACGTTCCGAGTCGGCGACAACAGCGCCATGGGTGGTGTGGAGTGCCCGGCGCCCGGCACACCACATCGCACGCCAGCACTGGGGGGGAAAACAACGCCGTCGCATCACGACAGCAAGAATAATAATACATGAGCACACCACTGTTTCCCGTGGTGTAGTCACACTGAAAACAATTATTGCTGTGTCATTTGGCGATGATGAATCAAGGACAAAGGACCCCCCCTCCCCGTGTTGCTGACATATGTAGAGGAGAGAAATACGTGGTGCGCACTGTTAAGCGGGTGCAACAGAGGTCGAACAGGTGGGTACGCTGTGACCAGAGGTTGGTGTCTAGGAGACGGGAGATAGGGGGTGATGATAAGGGATTCATGGGGCAACAGGCACCGGGCTTGCGGCGACTTGAGGGGGAGCACGTGATGACTCGGAATGAGGAGGGATGTAAAAGGGGAGTGGGCGTAAGCGGAGAGGGAGTTTTTCCCAGGAACCAAGAGTGAAGACATCTCACCGCTGCCGCTCAAGCCGTCAACGGGACCTCAACCGTCAAGCCGTCGCCGGTTGGGTGTTGGCTGAACCCCCCGCCCGGGACAGACAGGTGAGCGGGTATGAGGGAGCGTAGGTGAGCGCAGCGGTGGAGATGCAGAGTGGCTGAGTGCAGAGTAGCTGAGTGCAGAGTAGCTGAGTGCAGAGTGGCTGAGTGCAGAGTAGCTGAGTGCAGAGAGGCTGAGTGCAGAGTGGCTGAGTGCAGAGTGGCTGAGTGAGTCGCTGAGTGCAGAGTAGCTGAGTGCAGAGTGGCTGAGTGCAGAGTAGCTGAGTGCAGAGTGGCTGAGTGCAGAGTAGCTGAGTGCAGAGTGGCTGAGTGAGTCGCTGAGTGCAGAGTAGCTGAGTGCAGAGTGGCTGAGTGCAGAGTGGCTGAGTGCAGAGTGGCTGAGTGCAAAGTGGCTGAGTGCAGAGTAGCTGAGTGCAGAGTAGCTGAGTGCAGAGTGGCTGAGTGTAGAGTGGCTGAGTGCAGAGTGGCTGAGTGCAAAGTGGCTGAGTGCAGAGTAGCTGAGTGCAGAGTGGCTGAGTGCAGAGTAGCTGAGTGCAGAGTGGCTGAGTGAGTCGCTGAGTGCAGAGTGGCTGAGTGCAGAGTGGCTGAGTGCAGAGTGGCTGAGTGCAGAGTGGATGAGTGCAGAGTAGCTGAGTGAGTCGCTGAGTGCAGAGTGGCTGAGTGCAGAGTGGCTGAGTGCAGAGTGGATGAGTGCAGAGTAGCTGAGTGAGTCGCTGAGTGCAGAGTAGCTGAGTGCAGAGTGGCTGAGTGCAGAGTCGCTGAGTGCAGAGTGGCTGAGTGCAAAGTGGCTGAGTGCAGAGTGGCTGAGTGCAGAGTGGCTGAGTGCAGAGTAGCTGAGTGCAGAGTGGCTGAGTGCAGAGTGGCTGAGTGCAGAGTAGCTGAGTGCAGAGTCGCTGAGTGCAGAGTAGCTGAGTGCAGAGTGGCTGAGTGCAGAGTGGCTGAGTGCAGAGTAGCTGAGTGCAGAGTGGCTGAGTGAGTCGCTGAGTGCAGAGTGGCTGAGTGCAGAGTGGCTGAGTGCAGAGTGGCTGAGTGCAGAGTGGCTGAGTGCAGAGTAGCTGAGTGCAGAGTGGCTGAGTGTAGAGTGGCTGAGTGCAGAGTGGATGAGTGCAGAGTAGCTGAGTGCAGATTGGCTGAGTGCAGAGTAGCTGAGTGCAGAGTGGCTGAGTGCAGAATGGCTGAGTGAGTCGCTGAGTGCAGAGTGGCTGAGTGCAGAGTGGCTGAGTGAGTCGCTGAGTGCAGAGTGGCTGAGTGCAGAGTAGCTGAGTGCAGAGTGGCTGAGTGAGTCGCTGAGTGCAGAGTGGCTGAGTGCAGAGTAGCTGAGTGCAGAGTGGCTGAGTGAGTCGCTGAGTGCAGAGTGGCTGAGTGCAAAGTGGCTGAGTGCAAAGTGGCTGAGTGCAGAGTAGCTGAGTGCAGAATGGCTGAGTGCAGAGTAGCTGAGTGCAGAGTAGCTGAGTGCAGAGTGGCTGAGTGCAGAGTAGCTGAGTGCAGAGTGGCTGAGTGAGTCGCTGAGTGCAGAGTGGCTGAGTGCAGAGTGGCTGAGTGCAGAGTGGCTGAGTGCAGAGTGGCTGAGTGCAGAGTAGCTGAGTGAGTCGCTGAGTGCAGAGTGGCTGAGTGCAGAGTGGCTGAGTGCAGAGTGGATGAGTGCAGAGTAGCTGAGTGAGTCGCTGAGTGCAGAGTAGCTGAGTGCAGAGTGGCTGAGTGCAGAGTCGCTGAGTGCAGAGTGGCTGAGTGCAAAGTGGCTGAGTGCAGAGTGGCTGAGTGCAGAGTGGCTGAGTGCAGAGTAGCTGAGTGCAGAGTGGCTGAGTGAGTCGCTGAGTGCAGAGTGGCTGAGTGCAGAGTGGCTGAGTGCAGAGTGGCTGAGTGCAGAGTAGCTGAGTGCAAAGTGGCTGAGTGCAGAATGGCTGAGTGCAGAGTGGCTGAGTGCAGAATGGCTGAGTGCAAAGTGGCTGAGTGCAGAGTAGCTGAGTGCAGAGTGGATGAGTGCAGAATGGCTGAGTGCAGAGTGGCTGAGTGCAGAGTAGCTGAGTGCAGAGTGGCTGAGTGTAGAGTGGCTGAGTGCAGAGTGGCTGAGTGCAGAGTAGCTGAGTGCAGAGTGGCTGAGTGAGTCGCTGAGTGCAGAGTGGCTGAGTGCAGAGTGGCTGAGTGCAGAGTGGCTGAGTGCAGAGTAGCTGAGTGCAGAGTGGCTGAGTGTAGAGTGGCTGAGTGCAGAGTGGCTGAGTGCAGAGTAGCTGAGTGCAGATTGGCTGAGTGCAGAGTAGCTGAGTGCAGAGTGGCTGAGTGCAGAATGGCTGAGTGAGTCGCTGAGTGCAGAGTGGCTGAGTGCAGAGTGGCTGAGTGAGTCAGTGAGTGCAGAGTGGCTGAGTGCAGAGTAGCTGAGTGCAGAGTGGCTGAGTGAGTCGCTGAGTGCAGAGTGGCTGAGTGCAGAGTAGCTGAGTGCAGAGTGGCTGAGTGAGTCGCTGAGTGCAGAGTGGCTGAGTGCAAAGTGGCTGAGTGCAGAGTGGCTGAGTGCAGAGTAGCTGAGTGCAGAATGGCTGAGTGCAGAATGGCCGAGTGCAGAGTCGCTGAGTGCAGAGTGGCTGAGTGCAAAGTGGCTGAGTGCAGAGTGGCTGAGTGCAGAGTGGCTGAGTGCAGAGTAGCTGAGTGCAGAGTCGCTGAGTGCAGAGTAGCTGAGTGCAGAGTGGCTGAGTGCAGAGTGGCTGAGTGCAGAGTAGCTGAGTGCAGAGTGGCTGAGTGAGTCGCTGAGTGCAGAGTGGCTGAGTGCAGAGTGGCTGAGTGCAGAGTGGCTGAGTGCAGAGTAGCTGAGTGCAGAGTGGCTGAGTGTAGAGTGGCTGAGTGCAGAGTGGCTGAGTGCAGAGTAGCTGAGTGCAGATTGGCTGAGTGCAGAGTAGCTGAGTGCAGAGTGGCTGAGTGAGTCGCTGAGTGCAGAGTGGCTGAGTGCAGAGTAGCTGAGTGCAGAGTGGCTGAGTGAGTCGCTGAGTGCAGAGTGGCTGAGTGCAGAGTAGCTGAGTGCAGAGTGGCTGAGTGAGTCGCTGAGTGCAGAGTGGCTGAGTGCAAAGTGGCTGAGTGCAGAGTGGCTGAGTGCAGAGTAGCTGAGTGCAGAATTGCTGAGTGCAGAGTAGCTGAGTGCAGAGTAGCTGAGTGCAGAGTGGCTGAGTGCAGAGTAGCTGAGTGCAGAGTGGCTGAGTGAGTCGCTGAGTGCAGAGTGGCTGAGTGCAGAGTGGCTGAGTGCAGAGTGGCTGAGTGCAGAGTGGCTGAGTGCAGAGTGGCTGAGTGCAGAGTAGCTGAGTGCAGAGTGGCTGAGTGTAGAGTGGCTGAGTGCAGAGTGGATGAGTGCAGAGTAGCTGAGTGCAGATTGGCTGAGTGCAGAGTAGCTGAGTGCAGAGTGGCTGAGTGCAGAATGGCTGAGTGAGTCGCTGAGTGCAGAGTGGCTGAGTGCAGAGTGGCTGAGTGAGTCGCTGAGTGCAGAGTGGCTGAGTGCAGAGTAGCTGAGTGCAGAGTGGCTGAGTGCAAAGTGGCTGAGTGCAGAGTGGCTGAGTGCAGAGTAGCTGAGTGCAGAATGGCTGAGTGCAGAGTAGCTGAGTGCAGAGTAGCTGAGTGCAGAGTGGCTGAGTGCAGAGTAGCTGAGTGCAGAGTGGCTGAGTGAGTCGCTGAGTGCAGAGTGGCTGAGTGCAGAGTGGCTGAGTGCAGAGTGGCTGAGTGCAGAGTGGCTGAGTGCAGAGTAGCTGAGTGAGTCGCTGAGTGCAGAGTGGCTGAGTGCAGAGTGGCTGAGTGCAGAGTGGATGAGTGCAGAGTAGCTGAGTGAGTCGCTGAGTGCAGAGTAGCTGAGTGCAGAGTGGCTGAGTGCAGAGTCGCTGAGTGCAGAGTGGCTGAGTGCAAAGTGGCTGAGTGCAGAGTGGCTGAGTGCAGAGTGGCTGAGTGCAGAGTAGCTGAGTGCAGAGTGGCTGAGTGAGTCGCTGAGTGCAGAGTGGCTGAGTGCAGAGTGGCTGAGTGCAGAGTGGCTGAGTGCAGAGTAGCTGAGTGCAAAGTGGCTGAGTGCAGAATGGCTGAGTGCAGAGTGGCTGAGTGCAGAATGGCTGAGTGCAAAGTGGCTGAGTGCAGAGTAGCTGAGTGCAGAGTGGATGAGTGCAGAATGGCTGAGTGCAGAGTGGCTGAGTGCAGAGTAGCTGAGTGCAGAGTGGCTGAGTGTAGAGTGGCTGAGTGCAGAGTGGCTGAGTGCAGAGTAGCTGAGTGCAGAGTGGCTGAGTGAGTCGCTGAGTGCAGAGTGGCTGAGTGCAGAGTGGCTGAGTGCAGAGTGGCTGAGTGCAGAGTAGCTGAGTGCAGAGTGGCTGAGTGTAGAGTGGCTGAGTGCAGAGTGGCTGAGTGCAGAGTAGCTGAGTGCAGATTGGCTGAGTGCAGAGTAGCTGAGTGCAGAGTGGCTGAGTGCAGAATGGCTGAGTGAGTCGCTGAGTGCAGAGTGGCTGAGTGCAGAGTGGCTGAGTGAGTCAGTGAGTGCAGAGTGGCTGAGTGCAGAGTAGCTGAGTGCAGAGTGGCT